AATGCAAAGAGGTGATCTGAGAAGCTAGTGACATTAAGAATGTGGTTCCAATGTTAGAGGAATATTCACTAACAACTACTGCTATGCAGATGCTACAACCTTCCTTCAGAAAGTAAAGCTGATTTCCTGGTGAAGAGGACTACATCCTCTACGTAAAAAAAAAAAAAAACAACAAAAACCCTCATAATTGTACCAAAAAGGAACATCATGATAATCAGAGAAAAGACTGAGATTATCAAGGTTTTTCTTTTAACTACAATGCCCATAGAAGCAGTAGTCAAGAAATTAAAGGACATATTGCCTTGGGGGAAATCTACTGCAAAAGAGTCCTTTGGGATCTTAAAAAGCAAAGATGGCACTAGATGAAGACCAAGTTGCACCTGACCCTATCCAGGGTATGTATGTATGTGAGAGCTGGACAATGAAAGAGATAGAAGAAGAATTGGTGCAGTTGCATTATTGGTGAAAAACAATAAATACACCATGGTTTAAAGAAGAAAAAGTCAATCTCCTTTGGAGGAATCACAGCTAAAATGTTCTTTAGAAATATAGATGGTGAAACTTCATCTCATATATTTAGACCCATTTTCAGGAGGAACTTGTCCCGAGAGAAGGATATCATGCTTGGTAAAGAGTCAGACAAAAAGAAGAAGTTCTTCACAAGATGGATTGACATAGTGATTGCAATAATGAGCTTAAACAAACCTACTCTAGTGAGAATAGCACAGACCAGACAACTTTGATTGTTATACAAAGGATCTTTATGACATGGAGCAGAAATCAACAGCACCTGTTGCCACCACCCTTTACTCAACTCACAATACCTCTGATAAAGTAGATTCTATTAGTGTCCTTATTTGAGAAATGAGGAAATGGGGGTTTAGAGAAGTTAAGATACTTTCTCAAGGTCACAGCTAAGGAATTGTTAAAGTAGTGCTCAAATTGGGAAGTCTGGAGCTGAAGGTCCTAAGCTTCTATGATGCCATGTATTTTATCATTTGCTTTTGGGTTTTCATCTTTTACTTCAAAACTGGCAGACTGTCTGTCCTTAGCAAGAATAGCAAGAAGCAAGTCAGACCACTTTTTTAAAGAAAGTAACATTTTATTGTGTTTTTGATGAAAGTTTGCATGGAAAATTAGGTTAACTATTAGGTTAACTTAACAATTTTTATACATTGATCACAGTTTTCATGATGTGCCAGCATTCTCATTTCCATTCCATGTGTTCTGTGGTCATTGATCTAGCTTTCCCTGCCTCCTTGCTGTCTCATCATGCTTTTGGGAAAATGTCAACCATTCTATCACATACAGGTGATAGTTTAAGAAAGCACATTACTCATGAGGGACAGTGTTTCTTTTACAATCCAATTTATTATTTGGCTAGTGTCTTCCAGAAACAGCTTCCAAAGGTATGTTAGGGATGCATTCTTGGGTGTTCCTGGAGCTTCTATTGGTCTAAGTTATTTTGGTATTTTGGACTTATTTTAGGAATTTGAGTATTGTTCTACACTTTCCTTCCATTCTGCCTGGAACATTCTGCCATGTCATGGTTAGAACAGTCAGGAGTGTGAGTCAGGCACCATCTAGTTCTTCTGGTCTCATGTTAAATCAGGTGGTTTGTGTGCTCATTAGTCCTGTAGACCAATTTCTTGTAAACCTTTGGTTTCCTTCATTTTCTTTTGCTCCAGATGGGAGGAGACTAACAGTTGTATCTTAAGTGGCCATGTGTAAATTTTTAAGACCCCAGATGCTACTCACAAACTAAGATGTAGAATATTATCTTTATAAACTATGTTTATGACTTTATGTTCCCATTTAACAATTTTTATGCAATTTAAGAGCTTGAGATTGATTGTAGTGAGGCGGTCTGTGATCAGACCACATTCAACAAGCATGTACGGTGCTACCATGTATAGAAGTGGTTGTTTTTATACATATTGTTCCCTGACATTGATTACAATGAAGCTATGGTCAGACCATTTTCAGTATGGTAGTACTGAGTATAGATGAGTTGCCAAAAATAGTATTATCATAGCCATTATCCTCAAAATAATGCCGTTGCCATGACAGCTTTAAAGCAATTGGAGAAAGGCTTCAGTTTCATCAGAGGGGAAACTAAAGCCCAGGACTATACACTTTTCTAGATGGCCATCATTACCACAGCTTGCCGTTTTATTGAGCATTTCAAGCATTTGTGCCAGGCACCAGGCCACACACTTTCCACACCTCAGCTATTACTTAATTTTTAGATTAATAGAAGTTGAACTTTATCCTCTAATTTCTACTCCATGTTTTTCTGGATCACAATGATATGACCCACTTATACCAAAAAACAGTTGTACCATAGCTATTAGAGCTTCAAGGCAATTTGGTGAGAGATTAGTCTAGTCCTTTCATATTGTGATGAAGGAAAATGAAATTCTGAAAGGAGCATAATCCAGCATCAAGTAGGTGAATAGTCTAACTGGGACTGTTAGTGTTCTTCTGAGTTTAGGTCCAGAGCGCTCCATAAGATACTAAGAACAAATCACCCACGTTTTACGCAATGCAATACTCAGCACATACAAAAGACTTATTTTAAAATGGAAGGCAGTTATTAAGTGTTTGTGATGATAAATCATGCAATGGAAATGCACACTGATAAATCGTGCAATTACCATAAGCACAAATAGCGCAATGAAAATAAAGATAAATCGTGCAGTGAAGACACATATACACACACCTCCCACACACATGCACACACACCAATCCCTCTCTCTAGGCTCCTGAGACAGCACTCTAGCTTTAATCCATGGTTATGCAGGTGGCAGCTGCAGCTGCCCAGCCCTTTGTGACTGGTGGCTAGTAACTAGGGCCTGCAGATGGTGGTCGTCCACCAATCAGGCCTCGGGCGCTACAGAGATACACCAATTAGAGATCATCGGCTTCTTAACAAGGGCCAATTGGGGGCTGGAGCTCTTGAGCAGGGTAAGCCATGGTTAGCAATCAATCAGAGAGGAGGAGCAAATAACCGATGCCCAATCAACGACCTTCAGCCGGGAAAGGGGAGGTGCAGTCAAGAGGCCCGGCGTCTGGCCAATCAGCAAACAGGCGGCTGCAATCTCTCTAGGGGAGCGCGGCAGCCGGGCGGGGCGGAGTCTTTCCGCGCGGCTGAGCGGTGGGAGCTACGAAGAGCGAAGCCGGGTGAGGGGCTGGCGACCCCGGGCCGGGGCGGGGACGGTGCGTGTTCGCTGCTGGCGGAGGCGGGTGTTAAGGGGCGCGCGACGTCCAGCGCAGGCCCCTGGGCCCAGGCGTGCCAGGTGGGTCAGGGTCCTGGGATGCTGTGAGACCGACCCTCAGAGCTGCAAAAGGAAACCAAGAGAGGCGAGGGGCTGAGTAAAAGGATCAGGGAGGTGTCCTGCTCCAACCTCGTGATTGGGGGCGGAGAGGACACTGTTGTCATGGCAACACATAAGCGCAACCCGGCCAGACCTGGGTGCTCCGACTCCTTTCACCCGATGAATGTGCGCACACTTTGAACCAGCCTCTGCCCACCCCCACCCCAAATGGCCTCCTTCATCTCTGGTTCGCTGGTGGCTAGGATGGGATCTGCGCAGAAGTACCCTTTTGGACACCTGCGTCTCCTCTTCCACATCCTAGCTGCCCTCCACTCTCCTTTCTTCCTCCGATCTCCTCCACCAGCGAAGGATTTAAGCTCACCCAGCTGTATTTGGTACTGCAGGCCTTTTTGGTCTGGACTGCTCGGATAACGATCACAGCCGGGGTCCGGCGTCCCCTTGCAGGAATTGGTACCTTAGAGACTCTGCTCGCCTGGGAGATGGCTTCCTAACGGCAACCAGCACGATGCCATAAGTGTATGTGCCCAGAGAATAGGGTTTGATCCAATGAATATGTCCCTAATAATAATGTCTATTTAGACCAATTTATATTTCTAGTAGAAGTATAACGTGAACAACACGTGTAATTTTAGATCTTTCTCGTTGCTATATTAAAACACCTCATTGCTGTCGGATCAGAATTCGTAACTGACTTTACATTGAGTTTTAAGGAGGCTGTAAACTGCACAGGAAGAGACTGCCTATTTTTCTCTGCGAAGCTACTAGTGCATTCGAACCCCTAGAAAGGTGCAGCCTTTGGGTTAGCAGTACAACTCCCTACTTACAAAGCCACCAGAGCGCCCTTGGGGCCTCTATTTTAAAGGGAGTGTAACCAGAAAAAGAGATCATGCTGGGAAGGTAGAGGGTTCAGTTAACAGAGAGGAAGACCCTCAGCAAGGTAACGGACACAGTGATTGCAACAGTGATTGATGTGTGATGGAAAACATGTGAATGATGCAGGATAGGGCATCCTGTTTGTTATGAGTAGTCGCTTCCATATAGCACCTAGCAACAATAGCATATTTTGAAAAGCAAAGCAATTTAAACATTTTCATCTATTTAACCTAACGGAGTTCTGGCGGCAGTCTCCTCCTGAGTAATTTACTGTCTCTGAAAACCTACTGGAGGGTCAGCTATGAGTTGGTTCTGACAGAATACAACAATAACCCACTTATAACCCCATAACCCAGCATATCATAAATATTGTATAATTGAGTTGGAACCAATCCATAGCTGACCCTCCAGTGGATTTTCAGAGGCAGTAAATTGCACAGCGGGAGATTGCCCCCCTCCTTTTCCTGGGGAGCAGTTGGTGGATTTGAACCACATGCCTTTGCATTGGGAGTGCAATTCTTACTACTAAGTCACCAGAGCTCCCTAAATGATTAAGTAATATTTAAGGGACTGTCATTCACTTGTCAGGTAAGGTAACTTGTCAGTATTTGGTTGATTTACAAACTGACTGACTAATAATTATCGTAAGAATTTAAGGAAGTAATACTTTAGGCTCATGCAATAGAGGAAGACGTGAGCCTAGTCTTGAAAGATGGGGGAGCTAAACTCCTGGAAAAGATAGGAAGGGTGTTTGTTTGAATAGAACTTAACATAGTTTCTTTTGTTTTTAGGGTTGAAATCCTCCAGAATCCTGAGGCTTACAGACTGAGAAACTATTTCCCTTTTCATTGATAATCTCCACCATGATTCATAGCCTTTTCCTGATCAACTCTTCTGGGGATATTTTCTTGGAGAAGCATTGGAAAAGTGTGGTCAGCCGTTCTGTTTGTGATTATTTTTTTGAGGCACAAGAAAGAGCTACAGAGGCAGAAAATGTGCCTCCAGTTATCCCTACCCCTCACCACTATCTCTTAAGCGTTTATCGCCATAAGATTTTCTTCGTGGCCGTCATCCAGACAGAGGTTCCACCTCTGTTTGTCATTGAGTTTCTTCATCGAGTTGTGGACACATTTCAGGTATGGGAAGGTGGGGGTATTAATATAACCTGTCAAGTAAATCTTTATAGTTTTACTTTCACTGTATCCAGCCCCAATTAAAACTTTTTTTTTTTTTTAAGTCCAAACTGTTCACTTCCTCTCCCATCTGGTAAAAGTCTTGTTCCTATTTATTGAGTTAACCACACATAAAATGGTCAGTGGAAAACGTTTGAGCCTGTTGTATTAGGAAACCACCAAATGTGACTGTGGACAGCCTTTCTTGTTTGGAGATAGGCGTTATCGCTTTTGCTTACAATTCACAAGAGTTTTTATTTATTAGATGGGACTGATGATAACCATTGTTACCTACTTTGCTTTGAGTTTCATCAAAAAGTGATAATACTGTGGTTATTTGCATAATCTAATGGTAGATGAGAAACAAGGGACCTTAATTTTTGCTGTGTTAAAACTGGAATTAGTCATGTGAACATAGAAATTGGGAACTGAAACAGGAGTGAAAGAGAACTCAAACATTACAGTAAAATATTAAGAAACAAGTCAAAGAGGCCTTTCATTGCCACTGATGACTGTATCACATGAACTTTTGTCTGATGAGAAATAAAATATATTTTGTAAGTTTTTCTCACAAATATTCTCTGTTATTCTGGGATTCCATACTCTTGTGGCATCCTATCCCCCTCCCCCATGGAAATTTTAAGAAGTAATACTAGATATAGAGAACCCATTACTTGTGATCTTAAACTACCCTAAACTGCATTCTTACAATTTCCATGGATGATACTTTACCCTATTCTAAGATTAACAGTCCTTATGGTGAAATATAACAGCTGCTTCATATCACCACAAAAATAATATGTAACATACCATGAGACAGGAAGTGTGAGAAAAGATGTTTAATCAAGTTGAAGCCACAGAGGCATAGTACTTTATCAAACTTGCCTTTCCAATTGCTTAATTCATGTTATGCCTAGTAGAAAATCTGGTAAAATGTTTTCTTTGTTTTAAACTGACATCACCCTTGGAAAGGAAATGTGTGACATCTTTTTCCCCTTAAGTTTTCTTTTTTAATAAGAAATCTTTTTGTCTTAGGAACTTATTCCTAACTGCTAAGTACTTCTTTTTGATACTTAATTTTTCTGATCATTAGCATTATTTCATGTAATTTAGATCATATGTAGAGTCTTTATTCAGTATTAAATGTCAAAATTTAAGAATACTGAAAAAGAAAAACATATTAAAGAAATGACATGGTAGTAAAACTATCTAGAAACCAAACCACAACCTGAGCAGTGAAAGATCTTGAGAGTTTAGAAAAGTGAAGTGAAAAATTGGCTGTCTTTAAATAACTGAAAGACTGTTATGTAAACTTTTCCTGTAAGGCAGATTTAGGAGGCAAATTGTAGCTTAGCATAAGAAAGAACTTTCTAATAATCAGAGCTGACATGAATTAAGCAGACTTTCTCAAACGACTTCATTAAATGAATTCAGGGAAGGTTGCGCAGCCCTCTCCGAGGCCCTGTAAAAGAGATGACTGACGTTGCTAGAGTGTGCATTGAATGACTTGAATGTTTTCTTCTAAATCATCATCTCCACGAATCACGTTATCCAGTGCTTTATAGATCACAAAACACTTGCATGCATTTTCATTATTCATAGTATTATAACATCTCTGTAAGTCTAATGGTTATTCTGATTGTACGCTTAAGAAATCAAGACTCCAGTTGTTTAGCATGATTTAACTAAATGATGATTAAAATGATAACTCGAGTCTTCTGATTCAGAATCTACTGATTTTTTTATAACCCAGATGATATGAATCTAAATTTATTCTTAAAAGGGCTTTGAAGAGTTCTTAAAATTAGAGATCATAGAATAGGAATGATACAAAGAGATTTTGTTGAGTGTTAGATCAGTTCTTTCTTTTCCCCACAGCTCTTATCCACTGCATAAGTATTAAAGAATAGCAGCATGTTAAGCATTTAAAAATATTTTCATGTATGGTTCCATATCACATTTTGGGTGTTATTTAAAATTCTTGTTCATAAGAATCTATGTAAACAGCCTAGATGCAGTTTTATAGTCTATATTCTATTTTGTCAAGTCAACATGATCATGAGTTGAGGTGAAATAACACCTTTTAGTTTATTGTTGTTGTTGTTATGTGCCGTCGAGTCGCTTGCGACTCATAGTGACCCTATGTACAACAGCCCTAAACTCTGCTCTGTCCTGTGCCAGTCGCACTGTCTCTGACACTCCCATCCCAATTATCCCAGTCACTGAATCAATCCACCACCTAGTTTATAGAAAGAATATTAACTTGGGAACCATAAACCAGGTTCTCTCGTTTTTAGTCCAGTGTTCTTTCTGTCAGATGAGGCTGCCTGACAACTATGGTAGTGTTTCATTCCCTTACTGTAGAAAAGTACTGTAGCACCATTGCATGAGAACACATAGAAAGGACCAGATCCTTATTCTGTAGGAACATTCTTTTAGTTCTTAGTCTCTGAGTAATAAATATATATATTATTTCTTCATCAGGATTATTTTGGAGTCTGCTCAGAGCCAGTGATCAAAGATAATGTTGTTGTGGTTTATGAAGTATTGGAAGAGATGCTTGACAATGGGTTTCCATTGGCTACAGAGTCGAACATTCTCAAAGAACTGATAAAGCCTCCCACTATACTTCGGACAGTTGTCAACACTATAACAGGTAGGAAAGGGGGATAGGTAAACCAAAGAAAAGCTGCTGTCACTGTCCTCCTGGGTATGCCTTAAGTCTGTGGCTTTCCATAAGACATCTGCATCTTGATTCTTTTATGCATAAATAAGAGTTTTCATTGGACTTGATTGGAAAACACATTAAAAAATATTCAAGACTACCCATTACCTGTTGCCTTTGGGTCCATCCCAACTTTCAGCAACCTTAAGGATAGAGTAGAATCACCCCATTGGATATGTGAGGCTATAAATTTTACAAAAGGTGATTGTCCCATCTTTCTCCTGTAGAATGATTATTGGGTTTAAACCAACTTTTCAGTTAGCAGCTGAATATTTAACCACTGAGCCACCAAGATTCCTTAAATACTTAGGAATAACCAGGACCGTTTTGAAAAATAGGGAGTTCTGGTGGCCTATTGCGTAGAAAGTTACATTATCAATACAAAGGCAGACGATTTATGAATCCACTAGGTGCTATGATGGAGAAAGATGAGCATTCTCCTCCCACATGACTTACAGTCTCTGAAGACCCACTGGAGGGTCAGCTGTGGGTTGGTTCCAACTTGATGGCATGTAACAACAAGCATTTTGAAAAAAATAATTACAGAAGTGTAGTAGCAAGTTGCTGGGTTAAACAGCAAGACTTACTAAGTTCATGTATTTGATTGGACAAAAATTCATAGATTATTTATCAGAACCAAGCCGTTTGGGACTTCTTAAAAAATGTTTAGGTTATTAATGAATTAAGACACTATGTAGGAGTGATTTTTCTTTTCAAAAGTATGTCATAAAGACATATGGGCACATATATCTTATAAAATTATGACCATAAAATACATACTTTAAAAATACATAACAGATTAAATAGAAAACCAATTTACTTTGTAAACTTTCACTAAAATTTAAAATTTCTCCAGATAAAAATTACATTTATCACTGTGGAAACCCTATGGGAAGTCTTACTCTGTCCTACAGGGCCATTGTGAGTTTAATCAACTCAGTGACAATAGGCATTTCTTTTTTTTTTTTAAATTGTTATTTTAACTAAAGTTTAGAGGAAAGTTGAGTTTTCATTCATTCATTGTTGCACATTTTCTTCACTTCTCCTTCCTTCTCTCTCCCCCAGTCTGCTTTGCAAAGAACCTCTTATTTTAGATTGTTGCCAAGACTATTTTTTAAAATATTTTAATTTATTTATTTTTCATTTCAATGAACATCTACAGAGATTTTGGAATCCCATTCATTCATTGTTGCACCCTTCTCCCTGCCCACCCCAGCCAAGACTATTTTTAAAATTATTAAAAATGTGTTTTAAAAAAGTAAGAAAGAAAATGTCCTAGATACAAGATCTATTATGAAGTTTTAGTAATTAAAAAAAAAATATATATTACTGGCCCAGGAATAGACAAATAGATCATGAAGTTAAAAGTATAAAAAGTCCAGAAACAGACACTTGCTTTTAGTTAGGTCCCCCTCTCTTCATACCATAACTCAACTCATTCTTGAGTCAAAACTAACTCATAGCTGACTTTCCAGTAGGTTTTTAAAGGCTGTAAATCACACAAAAGGAGATTATCTGTCTTTCTCTGGTTTAACTTCTGGTGGACTTGAACCAACAGAGGTGCTACCATTGTGTTAGCACTAAACTCCTTATGGACTACACCACCCATGTCCAGGTAAACCAAGGAGTTAAACACCGACTTTACAATTATTAGAAGAAAGTACAGTAGAATGTCTTTTTGATTTCCAAGGAAAAAAAACCCTCCCTTTTTAGGAAAGAAAAGAAAAACTGTCATGAAGTTCTTTTTTAATTTATTTGGCAATTAGCTTACTATTATATAATATAAAGACTTGATAATAATTTCCTCGAAGTTATTAATCACATTTCTTAGTGCAATTTATTGAGTAATTATTTTCTTGCTGCTAGTTTTAAAGAATGGATTTGTTGCAGCAATGAATGAATGGAAATCCAAATTCTCTGTAAATGTTCATTAAAATTATTTAAAAAATGATTATGAAAAAAATGTATTTTATACTAAGGCATCATGATTTCTGTCTATTTGTAGAGTTTCCTGTACTATGAACATGCTACTTTAATTAACATAACTTGATGATGTTTTTTATTTTTATTTTTTTTTCT